AAACACTCAATATTCAATACGTTTGGAACTGTCTGAATAATACTGTACAGTACTGTATACCCAGAAGTTTATGACGTCACACAATCCCGGTGTTGTGACGTCATCTGCGTTGTCCGACAAGGTGCTACATCCACTCCATCAGCTGGATACCCTCTTCCATTGTTGCCAATCTGAAGATCAGAAGTTTGGTATATAGTACACTGTGCGTACTGTATTCCTGTTGATTTTGTGAAGCTTCGATGAATAATTTGGCAACTATATATAAGAAAGACCAAACTCCCAGATTTCTCTCGAAGTTTCTATCATGGAAGAGTACAAAAGTTGAGGAATCCATCTTGAATAATTCAGACTCTTGCTAGTGCTCATTCAGGTGCTGGGATGTGCGGTTTGCATGAACTCTTCAATCTGTGCTTTCCGATATCGTTTTTCTTTCTTTGCGTTAGTTTTTTTGGGCGTTTTAAGTCCATTTGGTGTTTCCGAATACCTGAAGTGCATTTTTCAAAACCTGGATGCGGTATTGAATCAATAATTAATTTCCTTAATATAGTACCGAGTTAACTTAACAAGTTTTTTGATTTAATGCGCGTAAGCCGTTCTTCACATACAATAATATCAACATCATTGGTGCGTACTAAAATACTTGCGAGACCAGGAAAGTCAATTTCAAAGCAAGGAATTATTAAAGCGTGAAAAATATACGGTATTCCGCATTATCTTATGCGTCATGGCTCAACGAGTGCGAGGGTGATGGAACAATAAGCAGCAACCCCTGGAAAATGAGCGTCTGCTCTTCCCTCATTAAGTCATTATCATCCACGTTCATCTCTTAAATTTTTCTTTTGTTTCCAACGTTACTGATATTTGGTCACGCTTTCGATTCAATTGAATATCCTAGACCTTGGTAGTTCGTTTCAGCGTTTGCTAAAGAAGGCGCCCTCTTGTTCGGTCCTTCGGAGCGTGCAACAGTGAATGCAAGGTGAGTTTAAATTTAAAGGAAGATTCGTTTTTGCTCAGCAAAGGATATTCTTGGTTTTATACCAAATTATATGATTGCGGAAGCTTTTAAAATCAGCTCTTTCGCTTACATAGCATTTCTTCGCCAAGAAATGACAATAAAAGCATAGTCTCTCAAACCTCTGTCTCATCTCTTCCTTCTTGAGCTAAAGAATAGATTCTGCTGGTCACGGGTAAGCATGTGCGCAATATCATGTGAGAAGTTTGCTGATCAAATGCAAGAGAGAAAACTTATTTTATTGTGGTGCAAAAATTCTCGCAAAGGTAATATAGATTAGGTTTGAAGACGCGTTGTTGCTTTCCACAGGATGGATTATTACATGCTTAAGGTGCACGTTTACAACAAAGAAAGCTCTGGGATTGCTGAGGAAAAGCCGTTCAAGGTCCTACGAATTTCGTACACGCCACCTGATCTACATCCGGATCACCCAGAAGCCTTGATAAAGAAAGAATGTTCCAAGTACATCAGTTCTGTTACGAAATTCTTCATCGTCTGGATCGGTACGACCTTTGCTTTTTAGGATATAAGTGAATTCGAACTTCTTAGAATTATTCCGAAATAATTTTTCTGCCACACCATTGAAGCATAAATCCTTAACTGAAAACCACACAGTCCGTCAATATAATGAGGTCCTCATTCACAAATGAAAGGGACAATGCCACATTGCCACTGTAATCTCCAGACATTTCGAAAATTAATCCTCAAAATACGTGTGTATCCTGCACTGGAGCTTACAATAATGATACGCAGCAGTTTCTAAAAAAAACTTTCAGAAAACAAATCAAAGCTATTAGATAACGTGTCACAGTTTTCAATGACTAATTGGTGTCTTTCGGTAATATCTTCGCAGAATTTTACTTCGGTTCAGTGCGACAGGCCTCATAGCGTGATTTATGGTCAGTATATCTCATCTCGGTCGCCTGCACACGTACAGAATATGGTATACTGTACTGTATACGCGAAGTCCTGCTATAATCTTCCTCTGACAAAATTCAAATGCATTTTTATACTCGCTAAACCTTTAAATATCGGCTCATTTGTCCAAAGGAATTTTCTAATTCGTTCATCTCGTATTATTGTAATGAGAAAATGTGAAAAAATTCCCTGATCCGTCGAAATTTTTCACGGACATATTTGCCGAAACAACTTGTTTCACGTGTGAATGAATACACCGTACTCTGCATTATAATGCGCCTTTCCGTCTAATTTTCAGATGACAATGGAGACGAAATATCCTTTGGTGGTGAAAAGGATGGATTTCACAATTACTGGCTTCCTCGTCTCAAAGCGAATAAGGATCGTGATATACCCATCAAGGTCCAGCTGTGTTAGTCTTACTTTAAGATTCACGGAAACTCCATGATGCGAGGAGCCCATTGATCACCCACGTCGTTTCATTGGGCATTTATCCAAATTCATATTTTTTTCCAATACGGGAAAAATCGCGCGGTGTGGACATGCCTCTGAATTCCTTTTTCTATTAGTGGTTTAATCCGATTTAGAAAGCTGAAAATACAAAATCGTTTCAATTTGAATTCTCAATAATATGGGTTTTGATCATAAATGTTGATGTTCAACTAGGGTAAAGTACTGTACATAATATTGTATACGCACTGTGCATTTATACCGTGGGGTTCCATCATACAATATAAGACAACAGTCTTATACGATGGAACCCCGCCGAACATCCTCCATGTAATTTAATACTGTACTGGACTTCCATTCCATGAAATGGCTCATCAACTATTACTAGGGGGCCGAAATTTGCTTCGCCGAACATAACTTACAAAGAGTCCGAAAGTCCAGAGAAATTTGAAGTTTTTAAATGTTGAACTGCAGTCTGCAGAGCAGCCTTAATCCGCCGTTCGAAAGACAAGGCCTCTAGACGCGAGAAGTCTCTTTTTCGTGACTTCGCAGGAATAATCAACTCACATTTTTCAACTGTTTTCTCTTATAACGTAGCTTGTAACTTCGATTTCTACGAAAATTTTCGAATACCAGAAGAATTAAGGAATGAATGAAGTAGATAAACGTAAGCTTAAATGTCAATCCGTTTGGATGGCTTTCAGCAATGCATCGAAAAACATTTGTCCGTCGTGCACTAGTATACATCATCCTTGATCTAACAATCACACGAGTTATTTTTATCATCTTACTGTACGCTGAAGAATGAAAAAAATTCTACAAAAATGCTTTAAAAAGCATCCGAACTGACAGATGATGATACCTTTGACAATTGTTTCGCCCTTTCCACGAATTCCAACTAGCCTAAAAAACGTGGCAATGCCGCATAGACTTGGAAAAACTTGGATATCAGCACCACTCCTTCCACCCCATCGTCTTTTTAAGCGATATGAATCGCAGAAGTTCTCCTTCAGTAGTTGAATCTTTTTATTGGGAAACAGTATACGGTAATCAAGATACACAGACAAGTTCACAATCGCCAGTCCTACTTTTTAAATCGAAATGATGTATTCACGAAGCACCCAGAAATCGTCTCATCTGCGATCACCCACCAGTGCTAGGCGCAACATGTGCCACCGCGCGGTTGAAAACACTGAAGATACGACGAAGCCGACGCGAGAACAGATCGGATCATCACCGCGCGCCATTCAAGCTGAGTCATGCCGCGGGACTACATGAATCATAGCGACAACGTGTTCGTCTTGTGTTGTTCCCGCGACGTGGACCTCATGGATGCAGGACTGTTGCGAGTATTGACTCGTTCTGTCGCCCCCGCTGCAGAGATAGCCGTTCGCAGTGCTGAGGAATCATTTCCTCCAGCGTGTCCCGTTCTGGATATTTCTGGAGGAATCTAGATCGGTTCTGGTCGAGTATTTATGCTGCCGCGACCCGGGGTTGATCATCACTTCTTCAGCTGTACTCGTCGGATTCGCAGTGATTAACATAAGGCAGAGGTATTGATCAGTGTCGGATTGTAATAATACGAGTGAGGTAATAAAGAGCGAACCTTCGTGAACACATTGAAGCGGAAGAGAAATCGTTCCAGAGTCGTGGTTGAGAAAAAATCAGTCGCGTTGTGAAGTCTCAAGTGGAGGTCAAAAAGGTCGAGATATCATATAGTAAGGGATGTTTGTCGACTCTCTTAGTTATTATCTGCGGGTTAAAGGAGGTAACCCCTCATAGAAAAATCAATCTGCTGATGAGAAACACAAAGACAAAGCAAGAGATTTAAGGAGATGACTTGCACTCATGTGACCAACTGTTTCACTGGATCCCATGTTTTCGAAATTTATTTTGATTTTTCCATCACATGAGCGTATCTTTTGGTTTCTCGAGTATTTTATGCTGGTTTTGCACCGTGAAAAGTTAAAGGAACTCTGTCTTTAACTTACTTATCTATTACTTGTATGTGCTTTGTGAATGAAGAATACTTTTATTTCCCGGAAAATAATAGTATACAGTACTGAATACAGTATATGCATAAATACATCAAAATATTCTACCATTGATTCTAGAGAAATTCAACCATAAATCACGATCTAGGAAAAATTAATTATGCGAAGATGATTCCCTGTATAGGAAAATTTTCCCGTGATTCTTGTTGTTGAATAATATAAAGGAAATAGAAGAGATTTGATTTTCTCCTATTATAATTGTGCCAGGGTGCTCCCATTTGTTCTTTCGCTGCACCGTACTTCCGTCTTATCACTTTTGCATATTTTTCTTCTATTTTGCGAGGATTAAAAATTGTAAATCATCATTAAACGAATGCCATTATTTTTAATGCCTGCACAGAAGAAGCATCGCAGCGATTCAACATCGCAGTGCTGGATTCGGTTCTCATATGCTATGGGGATTTTATTTTGTATTTTGTTATTTTACCTTGCAGACATTATTTACAATATGGGTCTCAATCCTGACGCAAATCGTGGCGTTCCCATGAAGGCCTATTTTACCAACGGGACATCGTCGGAAGTTCGTCGATTCACAGTTGATGAGGATGTTTCAACTAATGTGGAATATTTGTTTGAGAAGCTCCGGTCCATCTTTCCTTCTCTGAGGTTCAAGCCGTTCCGTGTGAGCTGGAAAGGTTCGTAGTCATAATTTGCGAGCCGAACAGTAGATTTTATTATTTTATCAAATCTTCTCCATAAATCGTACTTCTTTGAGAGATTCCTGATTTGAAAAAAGTACCATTCCCAGATTTTGAAGGCGACGATGTTCTGATTTCGAGCGATGGAGAGCTCATGGAAGCGCTGTCGGAGTACGCTCAAACCAGGAACTTCTCTGACTCGAACGTTCCAGCACTGCCGTTTAAATTATGCGTTATGACTGCTGAACGCAGGAACTTCGAGGCTTCAGATGCTGCAGGTATTATAATACGGGATATACCGTGTGCTGTACTTCTAAAAATGTTTAACCATGCCGATTATTTTGCAGCCGGCTTATTCGTCATACCTGAAAACATCCTGAATATTTCTCTGACCGCATTTGGATTGAAGAAAGATGAACACAAGGGCGTGAGTATAATGTTTGTTGTTCCCTTATTCCTTTGGCAAAATTCATGAACTGAACTTCGTGGGAGGCAAAGTACACGCGTAATTATGTGTGAATTTTCAAATTTGTATGTACAGCACTTTTGTACAGTACATTCGTTTTGCGGGTCTGAACTAAGTCGGATAGGAAAAATCTGGAGGAATTTCGAACTCCCTTTTTCAAAAATTGTACCGCGTATTTGCTATATAGTAAGTTCACGAATTTTAATAGTTGAACTTTAATTTCCTCTTTACTGTACGTTATTGGACTTCTCAAATTAAAAGCGCATCAATTCTTTTTTATTTAACGGTTCGGGATCTATTTTGAATCTAGCATCGTACAATGTCGTGTTTGTTTGTGGCCTGTTGTGTTACTTCATCTATGCAATCTCAAGCATATATTTCCACAGAATGCGAATGAAGACGCGAAGGAATTCTGTTGCAAACAATTTAGGTTTGGAAAGCATCATCATCACGGAAATAAGGGACACAATCATTGCGGTAGTCATCCCAGCAGGCACTCGCGTCACGGCGCATGCTGTTTGAAACGGCATTCTTGCCATCATCGCGGGAGCACTTCGGATGCGTATGATGATAGCGAAGATCAGGCCCACGCGTTTGATGCTTACGTTGAACATTGGCATCGCGCTTGGAGAAGCATCATGAACTCTGTCGCTGGTCGACGAGGAGCTTGTTGGCAGGAGACGATGCAAGAAATGATTCCTACCATGTTGTCTGCTGGATTCAACTTGAACCAGCTCATGGAAACCCTTACTGCTAACGGATGTGGCCTTGCTGAAGCTACCAGCAAAAACGGAGCTGATGGTGCGAGCGGCGAAACAAATGTGGGTGGAGGTGCATCTTCAAGTGCTAGTGATCCTCAGAAGAGAGAACAGGTAAATTCTAGGAATATTGCCCTGGAATATCTTGATTAAGACGCACTTGAAGCTCAACGATCATTCAAAGACCGATTCTTTAATAATTATTTATGGAAAAGTTTTACTTTTAAATTAAGACATTTTTTGGAGGATCGAAGCATCTTAAAAGGATTGCTTGAAAGTTTCGTCGATTTTTCAAACAAACTATATTTTTACCATGACCTTTCGAGAAATCGAAGAACCCACTCACCAGTTGGTCAACCGTTTCCTGTCTATCAGTGCCTAACGAAAAAAAAAATTTCAGCATATAGGATCGATAAACGTTTTAGGAATTTCACGATTTTTTTATTTGTCTGCGATATTTGGGGTACATAGAGTCGTAAGTTTTTCTGCACTGTATTTCATTTTCACAGAGATCCGAAAATGAGCCACGCTCCCACTCCAGTCAACAAGGCGATGTTCCACTGTTCAACAACCTGTTCGACTTCATGAAGATGTTCAACCTCAATCCAAATGAAAACGCTTCAATGAAGGACGTTATGGGACTATTTGGAGATTTCATAGGAAACGTTGAAAGAGAGCACGGATCTCGAGACCATTGTCATGGAGGAAATCCTGCTTTCATGAGAACTCGTAGATACGGAAATAAGGGTGCCAGTGGAGGATCGGAAAACCCGCAGGTACCGACGAAAAATGCGAAGACAACCGATGCTGCTTCTTCTGAAGGAAATCACGAAGCTCCATATCCAAAAACTAGTGGCGTTGTGGTTGATGTCGATATTGACGACGGCGTTTCTAACAATTCTGGAAATGCGTCTGGAGAAAAGTCAGCTGAACAATCTCCGGGGGCAGTTGCTGCTGAGTGGACTATGGTGGACAAAGAACCGACCCCGGAAAAACAGGATGACACCGCAAAGGAAAC